GGAATGGGTTGTACTGCGGCAGACTTCCATGATGATGGATATACTCCTTGCCTGTAAGACAAATTGAATAATTTTGCGAAAGTTGGGGTTGTTGGAGTTCGTTGGCGCAATTTTTGAGTACTATTGCGGGAATGCCATCCGGACCCTTTGCTTTGTTTGTATCCAGCTTTTTTAGGGATTTTCGTATTTCTCTGTGACAAAAGGGTACCTCTGGCATACTATGGGAAACCCTTTCAATGAACGGTGGAGTTTTTCCGTTTGGCACTGTTAGGTTGGAGTTGGAGGAAAACATTTGGGCAAGCATATTGGCTTTTTCCTCTGATGTTGTGGCTAAGTGATTATTTTTATCTGTAAGTGGTGGTATGGATGACTTGGTGAAGTTAGATCCAACAGCTTTTGCAAGAGACCAAAAGGACCTAGAACTACTTGGGCAATTCAGCCACCTGTTTTTTATTCTTTGATTGTATGTTTCTTTAGCGGAGTCAATAGTAATTTTGCAACTATTTCTGGCTTCTATAAATTCTGTGTGGTTTTGAGCGGTTTGTTGTCGTTTCCAAAGGTTATATGCTCTGTGTTTTTTCTGTACAGCCGTTTGACACTGGCTGTTGAACCAAGGTTTTGCATTAGCTCTACGTTTAGTTGTATGTGGGATATATGCATCCATTCCAGATAAGATTACTTGTGTTATTTCATTACAGCAAATAGTGGGATCAGCTGTTTTAAAGCAAACCTCTTGCCATGGAAAATCCAGGTAAAACTGTTTTAGGTCATTCCATTTTGCCGATTTATAGTGCCACATTTTACGAGGAAGTGGTTGTTGGCTTGGTGGGATGAGCATTTCGCACTTTGTTATTATAAGTTTATGATCGGACGCACCAAGTGGAGCATCAACTTGAATTGTGTACGAGTCAGGATTTGTGAGTAGGAACAAGTCTAAAAGCGCTGCAAATTTGCCCCTTTCTGAGATACGGGTAGGTTCATCGACAAGCTGCGTTAGACCACAACTTATGGCAAAAGCTTCTGCTTCTCTGCCTTCGTTATCTGTTTTGTTGTGGTGTTTCAGCCAGGGTATATTGTGGACGTTGAAATCGCCTAAAAAGACAATTTCCGCCTGTGGATAGTTTGACTGTATACTATCACAGCTTTCGGATAATGTCGCGAAAAAGTTTTGGTACTCGTTGTTACATGGCGGTCGGTAGAGGCAGCAGATAAACTTGGTCGATGACTTTGAGGTGAATTTTAGCCATATGATATCAAGGTTCGCTGGTTCTAGCTTCTCCTCTCGATGACATGAAAGGTCATTTTCAATGTACACACAGATCCCAAAACTATGTCGAAATCGGTGGTGTAGGTCATAGCCGGGATAAAGATAGTTCACAATAGGTGTTGCAGAACTGATTTTAGTTTCAGTGAGTACAAGGATATCAGGTCTTTGTTCTTTAAGATGTTGGTGAACTGAATTCATATTTGTACCTATTCCTCTTATATTGCTAAAATCAATTCTGAGTTGAGTTCAGCATGCTTCACCCACACCTATCTCCACCTTCATAAGAAGGGCTTGTAACAGGCCAAAATTGCATAAATGATTCTTACCTACTTTCAATTTTATATTCAAGATTTCCTTAAATTTGTCAACATTTTCTCTATAAAATTTCATCAATAATCTCAACGGTTGTAGATCCTGTAAATTTTCTAATTTTCCATAGTCAAATTCTATTTGCTGTAATGGTTTTTTCCTCATTTTAATCCATATTTTAATTCAATTCTAAAGCAAAACAAGGCAATATTTTGATTTTGATTTTAAATTCGATCATCTGTTTCATAACAAAAATAATTCATGTGTCAAAAATATTTCGTGGGTTGTGTTCCGTAATCATGATGACCCGTGTTCAAGTGGGTGTACCGTTCGTACTGACTGTTCGGTTATGGAGCGATATTGATCTCGGCGCAAATTCTAGCGTACCCCGTTTAGTCGCGCATTGGTTCGATGTTCTTTGAGACATCTTGAACGCACCACACCCTTTGATTTCGTTTCTTTGACTTTTGATTGTCAAAAATTTCTGTCAACCAGCGGTGGAGTAGTGATGTTTTGGTATCATCGATTCTTCCTTGAGCTCTCTAATTTTGAAAACGGAACACTTACTATATTTTGTATTCTTCAAGTTTTGATTGTTTTATGGGTTGATTGTTTGTTGTTAATATCATAATTCATTAGCCGTTGTCGTTTTTCTCGGATTATATTGTTGTGTGCAATTTTTGGTAAGTGGGAATTCTGTCGATTGGTTGTTGTTGTTTGTCGTTGTTCTCGATCATCTCTAAGTCTGAATTCCTTCCTTTGGGTTAGGTTAGTTTATTAATTGAAGGTGTAACACATTTCTTTTCACATCTGGACGTTGGAGAATTAGGGTCTTTATGAAGATTGTCTTCGCCTTTGTGGGATTTCGACCCTAAATTCTCATTTGAAGTTATAACATTTAGTTGCCTTCATGCCTTACGTTTTCGTAGTGTTATAATTTTCGCCGATTTATTCGGATTTTTACAACTCCAATGTGGTAAGCTGCTTACACGTTTTTTTCTTATAGTAGAGTCTGACTTTTTCAATTTAATTTAGTTGAAAGCTGCCCTAAGGAGTAGATAATTCTCACTCTCTCTAGGAGATCCAATCCTCGATCCAGATTTCCAGAGATTTTCGAGGCGAAAAACCCTATTTCAACAGGTAAAAGAAACATAACCTTATAACAATTTTTGCAGGCTCGGGGCACGTTTTTCTTGATCAATATCAAAGCTTTATTATGATTCAATCTGATTTAATTAATTAATATCTTAATGTTCAATTTTTCTATTAAAATAATTTTCAAGAGCTATAGTTTTTTTTATCAAGTAAATTTGCTATTGGGAACTAATCATTATAGTTTCATTTTCTAATTCAATTTATTCATGAAGTGCTTCGCTATTAGTTCAATTACAAATACAGTGTGTATAACAGTTTTTCTCTTAGGGTCCTTTCACGAGGGTATTTCCTTTGACGAGGTTATTTCCTTTCACGAGGGTATTTCCTTTCACGAGGGTATTTTCTTTCACGAGGGGTTATACTTTACCATCGAGTATATCCTCACGGTTATAACAATAGACGTTCAATTGTAACCGAAATTGAACCAAAAGGCTAACAGACACCAGCCTAAGTAATCGGACGGTTACGCAAGTCATCGAACAAGTTGACCACAACCAGTGGCCAGGACTAATCTGGTGAACTGAATGAACCACCACCATCTGGGAAATTTTGGTATCGTACTAGTTTTAGTTATCCTACTTATTATTATTGTTTATTTACATTCTGTCCCTATTTGTACACCCGGTGATCACCTCGGTATTTCAGGGAATAATTCATTGCTGGCCCCAGTGTGGTAAATGAATTATTAAAATAGGTAACTTAACTAGACGTAACCTGTTGAATTAATGTCAACTTACTGGTAGTTCTGGTTACGTAAGTGTAAAATAACCGCTCCAATTTATTATTCATTAATTTATTGTTTTTTTTTGTTTTGTTTTTCTCTTCAATTTACATTAACAACTTTTCTATTTATACCTTTTTTTTTTTATTATTATTCATTTGGGTCATTGAGTCTCAATGACATGTTTGTATTTAAATTTAACTGTTCATGACTATAGTTATTGCATTTCTGTATTTGTTAGTTAACGCTTCATGACTATAGTATCGCATTTCTGTATTTGTTGGTTGACATTTCATGACAAGGTCATTTTATTAATTACTACTTACATTTGCTTGTCATTTTGTTAATTACTTATTGCTTGCATTTACTTGATTATTATTATTTTTTTTTTTTCTCTTAAATTCAAATTATTGTTCATTGTGGACTGCGACTATTTGGTGATTAAACGACTGTAGCACTTGATATCTTGACTTTTATTTGGTTTTATGCACACAGCCTGGTTTTGCTAATATTTTTATTTTTTTTTATTAATTATTATTTGGATTGTAAGGACCTGAAGCCAGATACCATCCTGGAGAGTCCGACTCATCTGTTCAGAGTCGGTGGCGCCCAAAACTAAAACCCACCCCTACTCTCCGAAATATTTAGTTCTGAGCTAGGGCTTAATTTGCACGCACTTCGACCTTCAGTCTTACAATCTCAAGTTCTTCATTCAATTATTTTTATTTTACTTTTTTTTTAATTTTTTTTATTCTCGACTTTAATTTTTTTTTAAATTTATTTTTCTAAATTTATTTTTCTAAATTTATTTTTTTTTTCTTAATCAGCGAAAAAGCGTGGCAAATTAATTGGCGCCCAACGTGGGGCTGCCGTTTCTTTGAAAGGAAATTTAATTCACTTTTCTTTTGGCTGTTTTGAGTGCATAGAATCAAATTTCAAGTTCTATCTTTAAATTTTTATTTATTTATTTTTTTTTTAAATTACTTTTGGGTAACAGGTATTACGAATCCCTGTGTATAATTAATTATCTTTATTCCTATTTTATTTTATTGTTGATTACTTACCGTATTGATTGATAGACAAAATGGATTACAAAATGACTATCTCGTACCTTAAAAAGGAAATGCTCATTCATGAGATTACTGTTCGAGGTGTCTCAGTTAGTGATGCCAAGACTGTGGACGAATTAAGGTCTATATTGCGACCACTTTTAAAATTGGAAAAGTCTGGTGCATGTTCTTTTGCCCCATATTCCCTTAACTTCAGTGATGAGAAGGTTCACATTAGGCAATTTCTTGACGAAGCTAATACTGTCATTCCCACCATATCAGGTGAGGCCAGTCAAAATAAATTCATTTCCACCCAGTCACGATTAGTTCATTTGCTTGAGCGGGTAAAACGAATACCTGATTCTATTTTGTCAACGGAAGAACAGTCCGAGAGGACTGAACTCCTCATTGACGTTTTGGCTGCTTTAGATCATTTAGAGAGCGTTGTTAAAGCTGATCCTGAACTTAGTCGACAGCTTGATGCTGATGAATTTCATGTATGGAAAGAGTATTCAAGATGGCGGAAAGTGAAGGTGACGATCTTGATCCGGCTAACGAAAACCCAAAAAATAATGAGTTAAACAACGATTCAAGTAATGGTGAAGTGTTTAAATGTTGTGGAAAAAGAGCTACTACCATAGTATGCAAAGTGTGTTCAGCGTTATTTCACTTTAGCTGTGCAAACAGAGCTAACAAAATTAGAAGGTTAGAAGCCAATTTCTGTATTTGTTTGGAATGTGAAGATCATTCGACAAAAAATGGTCAAAGTTCCGATGCAATTTCGTACTTCAAGCAACAGATCAGCTATCTAACAAATGAGGTAACCCTAAAAAACCGTATTATAAAAGAGTTGGAAGAAAAAAATGGAATATTGGTTGAAAATAACATCGTTCTGAAAGAAAACAATGGTCTATTGGTGGAAAAAATCCAAAGAATTCTCTACGACGAGATAAACAAAGTAAAAAAAACAGACCTTCAAAACAAAAAAGACCTTCATAATAACGAAAATATCCCAATGCCACAAAAAGGACTTGGCAACGCTGTTAATCAACAACCCGATACCGCCGAAGATAATCAATTGAACAAAGTGTCCACTACTCCCACCTACTCCAGAGTAGTTAAAGCTGCACAGGGCCGCCAGAATCTGCGCATTTCCATTCCTGCCAAGCGAAGCGGCAATATTAATCCAAACAACCAACAATCAGCTGGTTCTGACATATCGAGTTCCCAAAAAAAGCAAAACAAACAGTCCGCGAATACAAATAAAGAATTATCGAAGTCGCCTATTATTATTTTTAGCGATAACGAAGACAAACAACAGGATGGTTTTGTGTTCCCGAGAAAAATGTTTAAGAAAAAGCGGCTTGGAAAAGCTCAACCTACTCAAGAAGGGAATTTTGTCGGTGGGGACCGCAAGGTATGGCTCTATCTGTACAGAGTTAAGAGAGAGTGCACTGAAACCGACATTATTACTTACATAAAAACTCAACCAGGCTTTACCGATCTACCAGTCACTGTTCGTGAAATACCATCTGAGCAGAACAAACTAAAGTGCTTTGTGGTCACAGCCCCATTACAAAAAAAGGACCAAATGTATGACCCAGAATTTTGGCCACAATTTGTTGGGGTAAGAAGATTCGATTTCAGGAAACATAAAACATTTTTGGAATCTTTTGCAGGTGATTTTTTACCCAAAAACTAAATAAATTGTCATCACAAAATTCCTCCAACCAAACAAAATGTAAAATAAATATTGATTCTCAATCATCAGTGCTTCATCTAAATGTTGAGGACTTGAAGAACGTACCAGAAACTAATAGTAGTACTGACCATAATTTATATATTGGTCATGTTAACATCAGGTCCCTTGTTCCATGCTTTCCTGATGTCTGCGACCTGTTGCAACAACAAAAATTTCATATTTTTGGAATAACTGAATCTTGGCTTACACAAGAATATCCTGACAACCTCGTGAATATCCCCGGGTATAAGTTATTCAGAGCAGACAGAGCTAGTAGGGGAGGAGGTATTTGCTTGTACGTATCGGATTGTTTGCAAAGTTTGGCAGTTAGCATATCAGAGGTACTTATAAGTGACTCACTGGAACAATTGTGGGTAGAAGTGAAGTATAGAAACAAAACATTGCTAATAGGTACTTTATATAAACCGCCATTAGTCTTCTATCAATCTTTATCTAGTGTAGAAAATGTATTATCTAGTTTATATGCAACTTATAATCATGTTATCTTAATGGGAGATTTGAATATCAATTTCTTGTCTAACTCAGTGGAGTGCAAATACTTGCAATCCCTGTTGCAAGTATTCAGTTTGAAACAAATTATTACTGACCCGACAAGGGTAAGTAGAAATAGTTCAACTTTAATAGATATTATTTGTGTAAATGATAATATAGATGTTCTTAACAGTGGCACTATGGGTATGCTCAATATGACTGACCATCGACTAATTTATTCTCTAGTAAGTATTGTAGCTCCCAAACTAGTTAAAAAAACAATTACATATAGAGATTTTAAACATTTTAATAAACTCGAGTTTGAGCAAGATCTCCAGCATATAAATTATGACGTAATCATGCAACAGGAATCTGTAAATAGTATGGTGCTAGTACTCAACGAGCAATTAACTGACATTTTCGATAGGCACGCTCCACTAAAATCCGCTGTGATAAAACATAAATATAAACCGTATATTACGGATACCATAAGGGAAATCATTAAATTAAAGGAAAAAGCATTTAAGAAATTTAGAAGAACGGGCCTAGTGGAGCATAAATCTTTTTATTTAGACATCAAAAACTACTTATCATTTGCAATTCGCAGTGAAAAACAAGCATACATGAACTTTGAACTTAGTAAACACAAAAAAAACACAAAAAAATTATGGTCTGATGTGAGTAACTGGAACATCCACTCAAAAACTAATAGTGAGTTACCTGAACACCTAAAAAATGTTAACCAAATTAGTCAAGCTTTTGCCAGTGTGAGTCAGTTAGCTGTTGCGGTTGATGATACTCTCCTCAATTTTTATAACTCTAACAGGTTTGAGAGACCTGATGATAATACACTTGATTTTGTAAAAATTTCCGAATATGATGTACTCAAATCGTTTAAGAGAATTAAGTCAAAAAGCATGGGCATAGATAAAATAAGCTACAATATGATACTTTTTAGCATAAATAGTGTTGCATATTATGTTGCTGAAATTGTCAACAGGTCTATGGAAACGGGGGAGTTTCCAACAATATGGAAAACCTCTTTGATTAGGCCTTTACCAAAAAACAACAAAATAGAAAATTTTTCTGAGCTGAGACCCATTTGTCTGCTGCCAGTGTTTGCAAAAATGTTTGAATTTATAGTATCAGATATTCTCTTGGAATTTGTTGATAATTATAGTATTATACCTGTAACACAGTCAGGCTTTCGAAAGAACCATGGTACTGCTACAGCCCTCACAAATGTAACCACTGAAATTGCTACAAACATTGATTCCTCGAAAGTGTCCTGCTTGGTCCTACTGGATTTCAGCAGGGCATTTGACCTAATCAATCATGATCTTTTAGTCTCGAAATTGAGGTACTATGGTTTTTCTGAGAGGGTCTGTTTGTGGTTTAGTAGTTATCTCCAACCAAGAACTCAGGTTGTGGAGCTTGAGGGGGCAAGATCAGAGCCTGTTGAGACGTCACTTGGGGTCCCACAGGGAAGTGTACTTGGCCCCTTATTATTCAATATTTACACAAGTGATCTTCCACAGCAGGTTAGGACTTGCTCAGTCAACCTCTATGCTGATGATACCCAGCTGCTGGTTGGTTTTCCTCCAGAGGATTCGTGTCTGACTATGCAGAGAGTAAATAATGATCTAGAGGAAATATATAAATGGTCAACAAAACATGGCTTGGTGCTGAATGCAACAAAAAGTCACTATATGATTATAGGTTCAAATAATAATAGGCAACAATTTCTCCAATATAACTTCACAACCTTACATATTAATGGATCTATTTTGCCCTCTGCAGAGTCAGCCAGGAATCTGGGAGTTACCTTTGATGAGAGGCTCGACTTTCAGCTACACGTAAACAAAAAGCTGTCATTTGTATATGCCAAGCTGCGAAGTCTATATCCTTTTAAATTCATCCTACCTAGTGAGATTAAACTGATGCTGGTTGAAGCACTAATTTTTCCTCAGTTGGACTACTGTAGCGTAGTTTTTTACCATTTTCTTAGCTCTGAATATAAAAACAAAATACAACTTGCACAAAATTCTTGTATAAGATTTGTTTTCTGTGTAAGAAAGTTTGATCATGTGACTCCCACATATTTAGCAAACAGCATACTAAAATATGAGCAACGTGCTGTCCTGCATTTTGGGCAATTTGTTTGTAAAATTTTTAAATTGGGCTGCCCGAGTTACTTGGCGAAGTATTTTATCGGGAGGCAAGACTTACACAATCTTAATCTAAGAAATATGGTTCGCTTTCACATACCTCAGCATAAAACAGCAAAATTTAGAAACTCTTTCTCTTTTCAAGCAATACAACTTTTAAATTCAGATGTTTTCAACTTAATAACTTCAAGCACAATTGTTAATTTCAAAAAGAAATATAAGTCTTGCCTTCTACAGCAGGCACAACAAATAAACACATAAACTGTGAAAATTATTGTTTTCTAAAGCAAGGTAGCATGGAAGAACACTATGTGAATGTTTACCTTTTATGTAATGTAAACTTTTTGTTATGTTGCATAATAAACGTTTTATTTATTTTATTTATTTATTTATCTTCTCCAGTGCATAACTCCACCCACCATCGATTTCCTCCACAAGTATCATTTCTGCCTAACAACTCCAAAGCCCCAAATCTAGAGAAGTGGAATCTCAAATTTTCTGGTGACCACAAATTATCATGAACATGAACTTAGCGAAACACTCGTCGCCAAACTCAATGGGCATGGGTGGATTATTTGTTGTTAAATTGTTGCTAATTAGTTACGGCAATATTGATTTTGTTGCTCTTTTGAATTTTTTTTTTTGGGTGCTTCGCTAAGTTCATATGAAGTTAGCGAAACATTTCTCCTTAGAACGTCTCTAGTAATAAATTAAATGCATGGAACTTTGTTGCTAATTATTTGCTAATTAGTTACGGCCATTTTAATGGCGGGAAGTAATTATTTTTGTTTTTAAGGGGTGCTTCGCTAACTTCACACGAGCAATCTCATCTGTAGATGACTCACAACCAATTAGAAAATTAATAGGAATTAGTTGCTAATAAGTTGCTAATTAGTTACGGTAGCTAAAGGTACAGCGAATTATTTTTTTCGTATTTTCGGGTGCCTCGCTAAGTTCACACGTACATAATTACACCACAACGTATCCAAACGATGGGAAACACGTTTTTTATTTTGTTGCTAATTAGTTACTATCATTTAGAATTTGTTACGAGACTCCACATTTGATATTCAATGTCTTTGTCCCTGTCATGGCCGCCAAGTGATTTCAACCTTCTTAAACTTTCCCTGACTAATTTAATATTTTGTTACTAATTAGATGACGACTAATTATCGCCACTTCAATCGCTTGAGTGATTTTCTTGTTCATTTTTCCGGGTGCCTCGCTAAGTTCACACCTGCTTTATAATGCAGAAACGCAATCAAACCACGAAAACGCAGTTTTTATTTTGTTACTAATTAGTTACTATCATTTAGAATTTGTTACGCGACTCCACATTTGATATTCAATGTCTTTGTCCCTGTCGATGTCTGCTAGTCATACTTTTTTCAACTGCGAAAATTCGTTCTTTTTTTGTATTCGTGTGCTTCGCTACGTTTAAGCCGCTTTTATCCGTTTTAAAATCGGATCCGTTTGGCTAGGTAAGAAATACATGTTTCCGTTTCATAAACGGATACAAACGGATAAAAACGGATTCTAAGAATGCGAAGCTTTATTAGTTGTTGAGTCACTATTATTCGAAATTTTCCGTATTTTTTTTTTCCTTTGAAGCTTTTTGAGTATATACTCCTATTGAGTATGGAAAATTGATAGTTTAAATACGGAAACAACTTGTAGACTCCTTTTTTTAACTAAATTGCAAATGATTGAATGTCTTTATCATTTCTTTCATCACCTTTTATATTTCTTGAAAGCCAATAGCTAAATTTTACTTTCACAATAACATTAATCTAGATTAAATGGGGGGTTTGTTTTATAATGTGTATCTGGTAATAAATATTTCAACCAATTATTAACGATTACTTTTTGGTTTATTGAGCATTTTAATTTGGTCATCATTATCAATACATAACTTTAGCATTATAACTTTGAATAAATCAATAGTTCAACACTTAAATTATACTCTTCATTAACTACATAGGACTTTTTTGTTTCTCCCAAGCCTCGCCAGTTTTCAATTTCGTTTAATGCTTTTCTTATTGACAGGTCAGGACTGCGATAGCAATATATACATATTCTTTTCTCTCCATATCCTTCTTCTTCCCCTGCAATAGCCACTGAGCACTCCTTGAACAGATGAACTTTTGAGCTGCAGATTGCACAAATATGGCATCCAGTTGGATAATCTCCATTTCGACAAGCAAGACATGTTGGAACGTGTTGGTTTTTTTTCGATGATAAATCTTTCAAGGGACTTCTTTCAACTTCTTCCCACGTCGAGTTTGCCATGACGTCTGAGTTCTCT